ATTTATTTTAGAGGGGAGAGAATCCTGAAGTGGACTCCCCACTGAGTGCAGACCCTCCAAAATCATGACCTGAGCCAAAATCAACAGATGCTTAACTGACTGAGCCACCCAGGCACCCCAGTATATTATAATATTACTGACTATATTCCCTGTTCTATACTTTTCATCCCCGTGACTTACTTATTTTATAACTGGAAGTTTGTATTTCTTAATCCCTTTCACCCATTTCACCCATCCCTCCATACTCTTCCTTTTAGTAACCACCAGTTCTCCATATTTATGAGTCTGTTTCTCTCTTTATTGATATTATTTGTTTTGTTTTGTTTTTTAGATTCCATATGTAAGTGAAATCATATGGTTTTTGTCTTTCTGTGTCTGACTTATTTCACTTAGCATAATATCCTCTAGGTCCATCCATGTTGTCATAAGTGGCAAGATTTCATTCCTTTTTATGGCTGAGTAATATTCCATTGCTTGTATATACCATATCTTATTTATCCATCTAACAGTGGACACTTAAGTTATGTCTATACCTTGGCTATTATAAGTAATGCTGCAGTAAATATAGGGATGCTATTATCTTTCTGTATTAGTGTTTTTGTTTTCTTTGGGTAAATACTCAGAAGTTGAATTATAGGATCCTATGGTACTTCTATTTTTAATTTTTCAAGGAACCTCTGTACTGTTTTCCACAGTGGCTGTACCAATTCATATCTCACCGGTAGTTCATGAGAGTTCTCTTTTCTCCATGTCCTCACCAATACTTGCTATTTCTTATCTTTTCTGATACTAGCCATTCTGGCTGGTATAAGGTGATATCTCATTCTGGTTCTGATTTGCATTTCCCTCATGGTTTGTAATGTTGGGCATCTTTTTATGGGTCTGTTGTCCATCTGTATGTCTTTGGAAAAATGTCTATTCAGGTCCTGTGCCCATTTTTAATTGGATTATTTGGGGGGGGTTTTGGTGGTGGTGTATGAGTTCTTTATATATTTTGGATATTTAACCCCTTAATGTATATATCATTTGCAAAAATTTTCTCCCATTCAGTGGAGAAAACTTTTTATCTTGTTTATGGTTTCCTTTTTAGTTTGATAGAGTCCCATTGTTTATTTTTGCTTTTGTTTCCCTTGCCTAAGAAGACAGATCCAGAAAAATACCGCTATAGTTGATGTCTGAGAGATTACTGACTTTTCTTTTAGGAGTTTTCTGGTTTCGGGTCTTACATTTAGGTCTTTAATCTATTTTAGTTTATTTTTGTGAATGGTTTAAGAAAGTGGTACAGTTTGGGGCTCCTGGGTGGTTCAGTCGTTAAGCATCTGCCTTCGGCTCGGGTCATGATCCCAGGGTCCTGGGATCGAGAGCCCCACATCAGGCTCCCTGCTCTCCGGGAAGCCTGCTTCTCCCTCTCCCGCTCCCCCTGCTTGTGTTCCTGCTCTCACTATCTCTCTGTCAAATAAATAAATAAAATCTTAAAAAAAAAAAAGGTGGTACAGTTTCATTCTTAATGAATGTAGCTGTCCAGTTTTCCCGGCACCATTTTTCGAAGAAGCTCTCTTTCCCCATTTGTATGTTCTTGTCTCCTTTGTTGTAGATTAATTGACCATATATGTGTGGGTTTATTTCTGGGTTCTCAATTCTGTTCCATTGATCTATGAATTATTGGGTCAAAGAATATGACATTTTTAATGATTCTTGGTGCATATTGCCAGTTAGCATTCCAAAACGGCACTAGCTCCTTGCCGAAAATCAGGTATTAAATATAATATTTTTTTAAAGCGTTGTTAACTTGGGCAAAAGTAGATATTTTTTTATTACTAATATTTGTGCTTACTGCATACCAGGCACTGTGCCAAATACATTGTCATATTTAATATCACATTTGTGTTTTGCTTTGTGTTTCTTTGATTATCAGTGAAGTTGGATATTTTCTAATATATGTTTGCTATTTATATACTTCATTTGTGAGAAAAGATCATTTGCCTGTTTAATGTGGTGGACCTAGTATTCTAAGTGGATGGTATCCTAAAGTATACTAAAAGGATAGTTTAGAAACAGCTCTTTTCCTCTCCTTGAAAATACAGTCACAGTTCAAAGCTTCCTGAGAGAATGTCAGCCTTTCAGTGTCAGTACTTGATTTTTTAACTTTGCTTGGCTTTACATTTTGTGTAATCTTTGGCATATATGCTGCTGTCATATTGCTTTACATATTAAAGTAATGGGATTTTATTCTAAACTTCTAATTCAGAGGAATAACATATATTTGCAACCATCTGAATTAGTTTTTGAGAATATATGTTTTCTCATATCTGTCAACAGTGTGTCTTAATTAGTATTGCTAAAAATATAAGTTACTTAAGAGATTGAGTATACTCTAATGGACAAAGAACTTGAATGTTGAAATCAGTCCGGTTTATAATTTTGGCTCTATTAATTTTAGACCTTTAGGCAAATGGCTTACTTCGCTTCCATTTCCTTATTAATAACAATGAATTTCAGTTTTCTGATTGTTACCAGTTAGAATGTTTTCTAGCATGGATTTTCTTTTAAAATAAAATAATTCTTTTTTTTTTTTTTAAGATTTTATTTATTTGACAGAGAGAGACACAGCGAGAGAGGGAACACAAGCAGGGGGAGTGGGAGAGGGAGAAGCCGGCTCCCCACCAAGCAGGGAGCCTGATGCGGGGCTCAATCCCAGGACCCTGGGATCATGACCTGAGCCGAAGGCAGACGTTTAACGACTGAGCCACCCAGGCGCCCTTAAAATAATTCTTAAAGGCAGGTGACACAGCACTTGGTACAGAGTAAACATATATGTTGATTGTAAGTTCATTTCGGTTTGAAATTATTATAATTTGAATGCCAACTCATGCCCAACATTTTGTTAAGATTCATTAGGAATATAAAAGTAAAAAACTTACACATTATGGAATTCATGGCTGTGAAGAAAGGACCATACACAGAACTAAGTAGCAGTGCAGAGTAAGTAGAGATTTTCAAGCCCATAGCATAGTATCTATAATATAGTAAAATTTCAGTAAGTGTTAGCTACTGATATTTGGTACTCTCTGATTTCTATATGATTGAAGATAAATGGAGATAATAGGTGAAAGGCAGAAGCAGAACACTGGAAATGAGTCATTCCTGTCTTTGAACACTGACTGCTAAGAGTGTTTTGTTTTTTTAAAGGAAGCAAGATATTCTTCTACCAGTGAATTCTCATTGATCGCATTTTTGAAATTCTCTATGGGTAAAGAGACTTTGGTGGTAAAGTGAATAATACGGTCAGCCACATAGGACAGGATGTCATCTCTGAAATATATTACGTGCACATATGCATGCACACATGTGCATATGTTTATGAATATGTGGTTTTCATAATTGATTGAAATATAAACCAAATTTTTTCAGTTTGATCTTTTCCTTTTAAAATGTCTTGGTATGTCAAGTTATAGATACAGGTCTAAGTAAGAAAGATAGTAACTGGATATGGAGAGAACGGTAGTAAGATTTAAAATAGATGGGATTTGGGTCATTGGTATTCACTGGTGATGAGTTTGCCTTCTTATCTTACCAGGATAATGTAGTAGTTAGAGTTGTAGTTCTGAAGTCAGTATGCCCAGGTTTAAATTCTGTTGTTTCCCATTACTAACCAGGTAAACTAAAACAGGATGCTTAACCTCTGAGTCATTTTCCTCATTTATAAAATTGGGTTAATAATAGTGTTTACTTTATAGGGTTTAATTCATAGTTAATTGAGATATAGTTTGTGGTGTTTAGCACAATGCCTGGTCCCAAAAATATTAGCTGATGCTGTTGATAATTAAGTGCTTTGAGACTACATCTATTAATAGCTACCAGAATCCAGATAGACTGTTCTACATGTAAAATTGACTGGTTTTCATAGTTCTTGGAGTAAACTGCCAACTTTGTTTTAAGTAAAATAAAACTGTAGGGGTACTTCTCTTATTTCAGTTATATAAGCATAAGTAGATTGAATAGGATAATGGAAGACAAAGTTTTTCACTGAATTCATGAATGAGGTACTTTTATGAACCACTACAAATGAATTTAATATAGTACATTACTTATATCACTTTTCTCTTTGGTCAGTTATTTTCCCATGATAAGTTTTTTGCATTGAAGTATGTTTCAAAAGTAAAACAAAAGACATTTGAGAAAAGAGAAATAAAAATGGATAGTTTAGAAATAGCTTTTTTTTCCGCTCTCCTTGAAAATACAGTGATAATTCAAATTTTACTTAGAGAATGCCAGCCTTTCAGTGTCAGTACTTGATGAGATGATATAGAATTCAGTTAAAATATTGAATGTAATAAGAATAAATTTACAGTAAATAATAATTTTGCTGATAATGAATTTAGTGAATAAGAAATGTTATTGTTTTAGTATAATCTATAAAAATGTTAGAAATTATTTATCTCTATAGTAAATATTTCAGATTTGAGGAAAGGGTTTGTTTAGAGTTATTGCTTAAGCAATATTTTAAATTTGGCTTAATGTTGAATTTAAATTTAATTATTAAATAAATATTTATTTGAATTTAAATTTATTAAATTTAAATTTGGTTATTTTTATATTGAGAAAGGTCATAGGTCCTTAAAATGCATGGGTTATAAAGTCTTATAATTCAAAGAAAGTCTGCTCATTTTTAATAATAACCATTACTTATTAGGCTGTAACTGTAGGCTCAGGACTTTATTAAGTATTCAAAATATATTATTTACTTTTATTAATATCACTCATACATATGGTGTTATAATTCTGTATTTTATTTACAGCCATTTCGAGTAATATGAAATAAGTTCTCTTCCTTGTTTTGTAACCTTTAATGTCTTTGTTGTACAAATATTGTGCTTAAATATTATGTGGGATAATTGCATAATTTCTGATTTGGTGATATTTAAATATGTATTTTCTTTTTCCATGAGCTTACGAATCTTAAGTATTATATTGATTGACAGTTGTTTTCTTTATTGCAGAACTGTAAGTGTAAATGGGTCCAGTAATTGGAATGACTCCAGAAAAGAGAGCTGAAACTCCAGGAGCTGAAAAGTTTGCAGGATTAAGCCAGATTTACAAAATGGGAAGCTTGCCTGAAGCTGTTGATGCTGCCAGGCCAAAGGCCACTCTAGTGGACAGTGAGTCAGCAGATGATGAACTCACAAACTTGAACTGGCTTCATGAAAGTACTAATCTTCTAACAAACTTCAGCTTTGGAAGTGAGGGTCTTCCAATTGTTAGTCCATTGTATGACATAGAGGGAGATGATGTACCATCCTTAGGACCATCTTGCTATCAGAACCCAGAAAAAAAATCAGCAACTGCAAAGCCCCCATATTCCTTTAGTCTTCTCATTTACATGGCTATTGAACACTCTCCAAATAAATGTTTGCCTGTCAAAGAAATTTATAGCTGGATTTTGGACCGCTTCCCATATTTTGCTACTGCACCAACAGGCTGGAAGAATTCTGTTCGACATAATCTGTCCCTGAATAAATGTTTTCAGAAAGTGGAAAGAAGCCATGGCAAGGTCAGTGTTTATGAACATTGCTGTATTTGGGGAGGTGGGGGAGAATTAACATCAAGACCTTAAAATATGGGGAAACTAAAGGAAGACAAAAATTAGTCAACTCGTAATTACTTCAGTTTTAGCTTAATTATATTCATCATTTGCTTTCATTGAGATGTTTTTAAATTTCTTAAATATTGATATAAATCTAATAATTTCAGTCTACTATAGGACATAAATTAGTTTTCTAATATTATAATTTTCTATTCTTAGTTTCTGTAGTGTTCTGTCACTGTATCAATATGTGTTACTTATTTACTCAGTATGACAGTCTCAGCCTTATAATTGGAATGTAGACCATTTACATTAATTGATATGGTTGGCTATAAATCTATCATCATGCTATTTTCTATTTGCTCTATTCTTTTCTCCCACTTTTCCTGTCTTTTTAAGGATTGAGTATTTTTTTATGATTCAGTTTTATCTCTACTATTGGCTTATCAGCTGTTCTCTTTTTGGGGGCTGCTGGTGGTGGTGAAGGTTGCTATTACACTTTTCAGTATATATCTTTATCACCATTATACTATTACGCCACTTATATGGCTTTTCACAGATAAAGTTGACTAATCATGATGCTTATCAGGATCAATTCCTTTTTTTTTTGGATAAGTTTATTTAACATTTCTTATAGTTCAAATCTGGCAATGAATTTATAAGAATCTTTTTGTGGAGGTTAAGAAGGGTTTTTTTTCTTGAAGGATTTTAAAGATGTTTCTCTCTTGTGTTCTGGCTTATATAATGTCTGATGAGAAGTCTGCTGCCATTCTTATCTTTATTCCTCTGTAATGTTTCTTTTCTTTCTTTCTTCCTTTCTTTCTTTTTTTTTTTCTCTTTTTCCTGTCTGACTTCCATGACTTTTCTCTTTATATCACTACTTTTAAGCAGTTGACTGTGGTGCACCTAGGTGTGTTTTTCTTTATTTTTATTCTGTTTTGGTTTTTCAGAGGTTCTTGGATCTGTGATTTGTTGTCATTTATTAAATTTAGAAAAGTTTTGTTCATTATCTCTTCAAATATTTCTGTGGCTCACTTCCTACTTCTGGGACTCCGAGTAAAAATATGTTAGACCATTTGCTGTTGTCTCACCTCTTAGTTGCTCTTCCCTAGTTTCTACTCTTTTCTCTCTTTGTTTCAGTTTGGATCATTTCTTTCAATCTTTTATAGGTTTAGTCTTCCCTCTGTTGTGTTCATTCTGTCGATAAATCTGATAAAGGACTTCTGCATATTTATCATTTCTCGCATTTTCATTTGCCCGCCCTCCTTTTTTTTTGGCAGCAAAGCAAGGTTTATTGAGCAGTAGTAAAGTGATAGTACAAAGCTCCCGAAGAGGGAGGGAACTCAAGAGGGTTGCCCTTCATTTGCCTTTTTAAAAGTAGTTTCCATCTTTTTGCTGAAATTTCCCACCAGATCCATAAACGTATTAATTATAGATACAGCATATCTTCTGGTCCATCTTTGTGTCTGACTTTGTTGACTGTTTTATCTCCTGTTTTTGTGTGTTTCTTAATTTTGGATTAAATGTCAAACATTGTTTGTAAGAGAAACATGCCTCTACTTTTGTCAGATTGTTAGTGTGAAACAGGTATTGGTCAATCTAGGTAATAATTGGGCTAGGTTTAGGTTTTGTGCTTGTCATAATTACCTTCTGAGTACCACAGCCTTCAAATTCATACAGAGATGGACTGCTATTACTTTGTGCTTAATGTGAGTCCTGGAGTGTCAGATGATTTTTCTTAGCATTTCTGCTTTACCTTTATCTTTCAGCTTGTGATATATTTGGAGGCAGGAAGGGAGTTAGATATTTCTCTCTGCACTCTTGCCCCTCCCATAGCAATTGCTTTTTACTTACTATGAGGCTCTTGGGTTGGGAGCAGGAGTTTCTTGATTCTTCTGCTCTAGTTTTAGTATTAAACAGGCTTTGTATGCCTTTGTCTCAAAAGTAGGACTTTCCTTGCCTTCCCATGGAGCAGACAGTCTCTTCCATCTGCTCAGAGTGGAGTCTAGAGCTGTAATCATCAGTAGCCAGTTATCTACATGTGGCTAGTGGTTGGCATATTGGACAGTACAGATATATGATATTTCTGTCATTGTAGAAAGTCCTATTGGATAGCACTGCTCCAGAGCTCAGGCCAATTTCCTGCTTATTCCCTTCAAGGTAGATAAACTCTGCCTAGCATCAGTGGGAGGTCCTGGGTTACAAGTAAGTTACCATTTCCTTTCTCAGGGGCAGCAGATCTCTGCTTTGTATCATCTGGTCATGAGCAGATTTCCTGCCTATTACCTAATGACACATGGCCATTGCCTAGTGTTAGTAAAGTGTGAGGATAGTTGAGTGTTGTATTTTTCTCCAGCAGTAGCCATCCTTTACCTGGGACTGGAGTGAGGAGGGTGTTTACCTCTCTTTCAGTGGCAGACAGCTTTTGCTTCATAGTGGAGCTTTGTCCAGCATGTACGCAGGTTGTGTGACTGTCCCACAGTGACACCTGATCTCATCTTATGGTCATTTAAAGCCTGGAATATGGATGAGCTTTGCCTGATATCCTTGTTCCAGCCTTAAGCCTTAGTATGTTCTGCACATCCATCACCATCTCCAAGGGTGTCTGTCTTAGGTCTCCTGCTCTGTCTAAAGTCTTTCTGTGGAGCACTGGATGGAGGCCTGTAGAAAAATGCTGGCTAGTAGATTCAGACCCTCTGTCTGGAAATGCCAAGGATGCTAAATTATCTTGCTGGCTCACACTTGGCTTTTAAGAATTTGTTGTTGTTTAAACATTTTATTTATTTATTTGAGAGTGAGAGACAGTGACAGAGGTAGTGAGAGAGAGCACGAGCAGGAAGGAGAGGGAGAAGCAGGCTCCCCACTGAGCAGGGAGCCTGACTCGGGGCTCTATCCCAGGACCCTGGGATGAAGGCAGACGCTTAACTGACTGAGCCACCCAGGTGCCCCTGCTTTTAACAATTCGTTAAAATTTGAGTCTTTTTTTTTTAACCTTATTTTATGACTGCCACTTTTTCTGTGTTCTCCCAAAGGTAAAACAGTTCTTATGTTCCATCTCTCCTAACAAGTCCCTGTCACACTTTAGAATTCAGTTCTTTCAGTTGTCTTGTGGCCTTAGCTCTCAGATGAGCTCATAAGAAATTATGATTTTTGTGGATTATTTGGTTTTTTTCTTGTTAGGCTGGTAACTGTGTTCTCTGATTGCTTCCTCTACTCCCAAATGGTAGAACTCTCTTATTCTTGTTTTGAATAAAAATTAAGAGCAAGTAATTATGTTTTTAAGTGACTGAAGGATTTTTCTAAGATAGTGCTGTTCAAACTTAAGTGTATTCACTGATATCTGGGGATCTTGTTAAAGTGCAGATTCTGATTCAGCAAATCTATGGTGGAGATTGAGGCTTTCTTTTCTAACAGGCTCCCCATTGATCCTGGTGCCATTAGTCCATGAGTAGCAAGACATTAGGATATATCATCATCTATCATCATCTTACAGCTAACTTGAGGTTGTATTAGTTATCTTTTGTAACATATTGCTATCTAACACATTGTCTACTACACATGGAATATTTATGAAGACCAACTATGTGTTAGGCCATTAAAAAAACCTCAGTAATTTCAAAGGATCAATCTCTGTCATAGACAGCCTCCAAGAGGCCCCCAAATGAGCCCTACCTTCCACTATTCTTGCCCTTGTAGAGTTCCCTTCAGTAATGAATAGGGCTGACCTGTGTAACCAAGAAGATATTGTAGAAATGATGGATCATGCCTTTTGAGGCTAGGTCATAAAAGGTACTATAGCTTCCATCTTGGGCTCTTGGATAACTAGCTATAGGGGAAGCCAGATGCCATATCATAAGGACATTTAAGCAGCCTTATGGAGAGGCCTATATGTCAAGGAAATGTGGCCTTCTATCAACAGTTGTGTGAATAAGCCATCTTGGAAGCAGATTCCCCCAGCCTCCTCCCCAAACTTTCCTTTCAGATGACTGAAAGTTTTAGGAATGTTGGATATGTTCTTTCCAACATTGTTGGATTTTATTTTGAATTATATCACTTAATTATTTTCTAGTTTTAGACCTATTGTGTTTATGCTTATGGTGGGACATAAAAGGAGAACTGTCTGTTAGGTACTTAGAAATATGGTACAGGAGTAGTGGTAATGTGGGATTAAAGCTCTAAATTTGGAAGTCATCAGCACTGATTTTCAGTAGAAAAATCTAGGAAAAGTATATTATAGTGGAAGCAAAGGAGGGTAGATTTAAGTGTGAATGAGCAACAGTATCAAATGTTGCAGAAATCTTAAATGATTGGTTAAGAAGAAGTGATTGAGACAACTAGCAGCCAACAGATGAGAATTCAAAATACTGTGTGCTGGTATATGTGGGGTGGGGATTATGTAGGGATGGGGATATAGCTTTTGTAAATTCTCAAGGTATAAATATTTCCATCATGGCCAGTTTCAAACTACCAGCATTCTGTCATTAAATGTGAAGTTGATAGGAGATGTTTCTAATGAGCAGTACACCACTGTGTGTAAAGAATTAATCTAATTTAATAAGAAAAAGAAAACTAATTAAAAAATGGATAAGAATATGAACAGGCAGTTAACAGAGGAGGAAATACAAATAGCCAATAAGCATGCAGAGCTGTTTATCCCCACTAGTAATCAGGGACATACAAACTAAACCCACAAAAATAGTTGTACCCCATTAGAATGCAAAAATTTTATATGTTTGATAATACCAATTTAGATAAGGATAGGGGAAATAATACCAATATTTTCATACCACTAATAGGAGTGTAAATTAGTACAACCATTTTTGAGGGCAACTTGGCTACAATTATTAAAATTAGAAATGTACATATCTTTTGATCTAGTGGATTAGATTCTGATTTCTCCCCTAGAGTAAGATTCGTACTTGCATACAAGGAGGTATATATCCACTGTGGTATTGTTTGTAATAAAA